TTCGATAAAAGCGGTGCTTGTGTAGTTCATAATGATAACGTAATGTAGCGTCAGTGTTAAAAGGTCATAAGAAGAAAAAATCTGACCCATCCGCTTTCCTTCATCCGGCCAAGTATCCAACGATTAAGAAAGTTCATATCGCATTTTCTCTATGGTACTAATGCAATAGTGTGAGAAAATACCAATCGATCTTTATCGTCACGATAAATTCATGCTTGACAAGCGATGGCAATTTTATTATGATTAATGCACATCATTTATTATCTGAAATTGACAATTATTTTTTCTACAAGTTTATTTGTATTCTCCATCATTTATTACTCTTAGGTCATTATATACATCTTAGGTCGTCTAAGTAATATATATGAGGATGAAGAATTAAGTATGATTGAATCATTTGACAAAATTTTATCTCTCATAGAATTATTAAATATTATACTGTATTATTCGAACTAATATATTTAATTATATATAAAACTCTTTCAAAAATATTTAATTATTTAAAAGAATGTCTTTAAAGTGTTTATTACTTTTTAAATTAATAATTATATTGTTAAATTTTTACTAATTATTAGAAAATTTGCAACTGTTAAGAAAAATTATATTATACTCATATACAAAGTAATCGCAACATTATTTTCAGACTTCATGGTTCTTATGAGGCACTTAAATATGGTACATTATTGGATGGCTTGTCTGATCTCACGGGTGGTATTACTGAAAGCATCGCGATTCGTCAAGATCCCACAGCTTGTGGACGAGCGTTGTCAAAACTTTTGGATATGACGTCTCTTATTACTTGTACAGTGAATAATAATCAACAGCAACAGGTACAAGGCATTTCGAAAATCAAGAATTAAAATTTTTTTGAATTATTATTTCGCTAATACACATGTTTTGTGTGATCTTAGATACGTGCCAGCACAGAAAAGCTCGCTAATGGTATACAAATGGGAATCAATTACAGATTGTACGCGATTGAGAGGGTCAGTATGTTAATAACATTTTTATATATACGTAAAAAAAAGTATAAAAGGATTTGAAGGAGAAAAACAATATTGATTTCGGTGCTGTAGGTGGAAACATTTGGAGGGGAAGCAGTGCAATTAGTAAAATTAAGGAATCCTCTTGGACCCGGCGGGGAATATGTCGGTGCGTGGGCGAGGGGTGGGCTGGAGTGGGATGAAGTGCCAGTAATGGAAAGAGAACGGCTAGCTGTGAGAAATATGGCTGAAGGAGAATTTTGGTAAGGACATAGGAAGGGATAGCATAATTTATAATGTAACATTGGAATATTAATTAAAGTAAACAATATAAAAATTTATGCTATTTATTAATTAAGAAATATATGTAAGTTGCTAAAACTTAGGGATTAGATATCATGGAATAATCTCCGCAATTGATATATGAGTTAAACTTCCATGTAAACTTTGCCAAAGTTCTGAGATGATGTAATTATATATTGTTACGGTTTGCAGGATATCATATTCGGATTTCGTTAAGACATTCACTCATCTGGAAGTTGTGCATCTAGATGCTGAAACTTCGAGAGATGAACCGTCGTTACACAGTAAGCACACTTGGCAAATGAAATTGTATCAAGGAAGCTGGAGGAGAGGTGTCACTGCGGGAGGATGTCGAAATAATCAAGGTTTGATCATTACGTCACTCATACAGAGTTTTGAATCTTATAATTAACAGTACTGTTGAGATTATAATTATAGCTAATACAGAAAGCAATTTGCAAACACGATTTCAAAGCTAATATATTTTATTATTTAATTGAATTAAGTTATAATAAACTAGCGACGAATAATTAATTAGCGACTATGTTTTTTTCTTTACACAGAAACTTTTCACATAAATCCACAGTTACATTTAATTCTCAGCGAAATGGAGGAAGTGATCGTTTCGTTAAATCAGCATTCCATTATGGAGCCGAAAGTAAGAAACTTTTTCAAAATATTGCAATTTAATTAAATGTATTTCCTGGTCAAATCAGCTTATTAAAAATTCTCTTTGTTTTAAGGTGATCGGTTTCACAGCATATACACTGCCGAAAAACAGCACCGAATCGATAAACAAACAATTTTTTAAAAAGAACAAATCCTTAGTTAATTCTCAATACACGAATAGTCGGCAGGTGAGCCACAGGTGTCAGCTCGAGCAGGGTGGTTATCTGCTGGTACCTACGACCTTCGAGCCTACTCAAGAAACGAGTTTCACATTACGGGTCTATAGCAGTAAGCCTCTAAAACTCAAGTAAGTATATGCATTTACCGATGTCATTTACGCTCGCACAAGGCGGAACAAAGGATCTTATGGCCGCCTCGGTGCATTTAATGTGCAGCATACATTAACTCATGAGGATATGTTATATGTCTACCTTTAACTATACAGTTTTAAAATCTTTCTCGACTATATTTTAAAGGACATCAAGTAATTGCCTCCTCCAAGCATACGGTCTTTTGTTAGGAAGATGCAATACGTCGAGAATTTTTTGTCGACGAAATGATTTACTAATATTTAAATATTTTTGATTGACTTATCTTTTCTTTTATTTGCGCGAATATATAATTAGCGCGTAATGTTATTTTATTATCAAAAATTGGTTTAGAATTTAAAATGCGAAAAATTTTACTTTGGATTATTATACTTTATAACACGTTGACTGCCGCGTCATTCAATTTCGGATGACATCGAAAATGTTTGCTTCTCGACTGCAGACTTTCAACTGAAGGAATAGTCATGACCATAGCGTTAGGACTATTATCACCTTCTGTTATCGAAAGACATCTATCCGCAGAGATGGCGATATTTACAGAGTGAGATTTTATTCTCGGAAATACGCTTTGTGTGACCGCGCACGTGGCCTGACGAAAATATTTATTCAAACTTGTCTGGCAGTCAATGTGTTGATATTGTTTTGGGTTCCAGAATAAAAAAGTGAGCGAAAAATACAATTTTATTTTCATACATGTACCATTCGTTTCAGATTGTTAGATACCCCACCGTCGTTAATGAAATCGGCAATTGTTAAAGCACCTCCCCTCGAAGGAAAAGGCTTCTCTCAGTACGAAGCCGTGTTTTTACAGCTTGCTGACGAGCACAGAACTGTAAATGCTTTCGAGCTGCAGGAGCTTTTAGAAGCCTGTTTACCAAATGGTACACGCAATGCTCTTTCGTCGTAAAATATACAGAAAATTTTTTTGAAAATAGAATGTATTAAAATGTAGTGCAATATTAATCTAAATAAACATTTTATTTTTAACTTTTAGATTATATCAAAAGCTGTGCCTGCATGGAAGTTTGCCGACAAGTGGTACTCACTATGGACGTATCCTTTCAAAAATGTTATTTTTTTAGAATATTTCTTGCAACGTTATAAATATGGAATCTATTCACAAATTTTTATTTGACGATTATTTACTTTGTTATTTATTTATTTTGTTAGAATATAGCTTTTATATTTTATTAATTTACTTGATTAACTTTATTCAAATCGAGTATTTACCTAGAACATTAAATAAATCAATGGAATTAATTTTTTTATGATAAACAATAGTTTCCTTACATTTCCTGTTTTTATAAACAGAGCTCTGGAAGTGGCCGGCTGAAATTCAATGACTTCAAAGATCTTATGTGTAGTTTAAAGTATTGGCAAGCTGCTTTTAAGAATCACACGAAGGAAAAGACGGGTATACTTAAGGCGGAGAGACTGCGAGATGCCCTGCTGGAAGTTGGTACGTAAGAGGAAAATATAATACATAGTACCGCGAAGTAAACATTTTATTTTGTTATCCTGTAACCAAAGCTTTTATCTCAGGTTTCCAATTAAATACGGATGTACTGTCCATTCTGATTCTTCGATATATGAGAAAAGATGGTACTCTTCGATTCGGCGACTTTGTCTCGGCGATATTACATTTGAGCGATGCATTTGGTACGTTTATTAAGAGATTAATCGCACAATTAGTCTGATTCATTTATAAATTTAAAATGTTTTATATTAATTGTTGTGCATTTATTTAGGGATATTTGAGAGCAAGGATCCTTTGCAAAATGGAACAATAAAATTAAGTTTGTCAGAGGTATATAAAAGTCTTATTCTAAGAATATTCGTTATTATGATTAATAGTCATGTAACTTATTAGAAATTACTTTGTGCATTATTAAATTGCGATCTTTTTTTTACAGTGGTTGAGATCATCTCTGATGTGTTAAAGTGTTAGTCAGCGTAAACTATGTACCTTGTAAATGTCGTCTGTAAATAACGTTTTTTTCCATTTCAACGTTAAATGTAAGTTTTAGCCATATTAATGATTAATGCCCATCTATTTACACTTTGTAAAAAACCGTCATTATTTTTTACAATAATATCACTCATCATGTTCTTATGTAATTACTACATGTTATAATTAAAAAGCTGTATGATACGTCATATATGTCAGAATACCGCACTAGATAATAAAGTTAAGTTTATTTTGCATAGTTCCTATGTATTTTTTATTAAATCTTAATACATATATACATTTAACTTGCAGTTTTAATAAACTATAAATATTTTTGTAAATAAATATAAATAATGTATAACCTTTTTTTATTTAACTACATTAAGATTAAATCAGTCTAAAATTAAAGTCGAGAATTGAAAATTATTAAATACTGAAAACAGTTTTAAACTTAAGTATACATTATTAAATATTCTGGCTACGTGCATGTGTCTTAGAGAGAAAGAAATATAGCAAAATTACAATAGAAACATTTATTTATAGAATTCATTCGAGAGATACAACGGAACTTTTGATATCCTAGAATTTATCACCTGCTCCCAACGAATGAGAGTGAGGTATAATTCGCGCAAATTGATTAGCTTTTGTCCAAATTGTCAACGCAATTTTATATTGTTCTAATTTAGGGTTTCATTTTGGGCGAATTATATAATAAGTGCACACGAGACACAGATAGGTGGACGGCGATAAGTGAAAATTACCAGAAACAAAAGCGATTTTATCCTTGTAATCGATCGTTCCAAGCAATTTCAAACGTTCCGTCTTTAAATGATGCTTTGATCAAGGAAATTGCCGGGTGCATTTTAACAATAGATTGCAGCCCGATATACGTATAATGCGTCGAAAAACACGTACGTCCGTCATAAACTATGTCTTCATCGACATCTGTCACTGCGAGCAACATATTCGTGACTCGCGATTTGATATTTAATAAAATCCATAATTACGAGCTTTATTGTGCAAAATTTATGCAAAACTATCATGATTTTTGCTATATAAAATATAAGTAGATTTGTTTTATGGTTTTGATATGTGCAAATTTGAGTTTTAATATTTAAAAGATAAATAATTTCTTTATTGACAATTTTTTATTGACAATTTAATTACTTAGAAATATTACAGTTTAAAAATTCTTTGCAAGTTAATGATTTTTATATAATTATAAAAAATAATATTAGTGTATTGAAGCATCTTACATTATGTTATTATGTTCATTAATTATACATATTTAAAATTATTTTTAAAATGATAAAAAGCAACGATAAGAAATATTCTAATATTAAATAATAAATTTAATATATTAATTTTAAAGTTAATTTGGGATCAGAATCCAAAATATAGTTTAAAATTAAATATTTGTAAGAATATATTCCTACATAGTCTATATAACAAAATATTTCAAAATAATAATATCATTTAATTTTTTTCATATAAATATATACATAAAAAATCTTTTAAAATATAACAATGCTATTAAATTGGATAAAATTAAATTTCAAATTTTAAGCTATAATAAATTTAAAAAATATCTACAAATGCAAGGAAAAATTTCAGAATTTTTTTAATTATGAGTATCATGTATGCTGCTCGTAGAAACGATATCGACATCTTCCTTCTAACAATCATTTGCTTCGTAGAGCACGTGTTTTCGTCGGTGCAATGAGGGAAAGGAAGACGTTCAAAGGTATACAACCGGGGTTCACAGTTTCACACACATATTACGATCGTTTCCAAGAGAGGAAGACATCGAAGTTTAGAAACAGTCTCGTGCATCGGCGAAATAACGTTTATCTCCACGCGAATATTGGATGGCGCATCGCTTATCGTTTAGATATTTACATAATCGTAAAGATATTTGCAGCAAGATAGTGGAGATCTTAAAGTAATGACCAGCCCTGTTAATTCACTAGAATTTTATCGAGTAGAAAAGTCTGTCTGTATAATATGCGCGCGCGGATAGTTAACAGCGACGAACAGATCGTTTTTATTAAATGTCGTAATTTACAAATCTGCAATTTTTGTATAAGTAGTTCAGCATGGTTTAGAATTGATACTAAAAGAGAATTCTTTCCAAGTAAATTTTCCGCTATCATAAAACTTATACTCGATTTTCTTAAATAGAAGATTATAATTAAACGTGTGACATTTTTATAATTAATTATTGACCTGATATAAACATAATTTCTTAATATTTTATTAATATAATGCGCGAACGTATTTTCCTTTAAATAAAACACAATCGATATTCGTCGCCTTTGTGAGACAGGTATCGAGGTAGGTTTATTTTGAGCCTTCGCAAATGTCGACGTTCAATTGAGCTTTCGCACGAGGTTCGAAGAACTTTCGCGAGCGTACAGATCGCAGTGAACGAGATAATCGAATTTTCGCCTTAAGTCCACGCTCTGACGACATGTCCGGTTGTCTCTCGGCCGTGTCCATCTGCGTGGAACGGTTGTGTTGGCATAAGATTAATTCGCATGTCGTCGGGCAGTGCGTACAGTCGATCGATCAGACTTCCGTAACCCTTTGCACGGAGTTAATATCCAGAGCGCAATTGCCGATCGTGTCCGGCGAGTCTGGAAGATATTCCTCGAACGGCGTAATTCCAGCTGTTCTCAAATCATCCCTCACACGTTCCACCTAAAATGCAAATAATATTGTTATTTTTAATATTAATGCCACAGAGATGTTAATATTGCAATACATTATAAAATTATTGTGTTATTTATAAACTTAGAAAATTTGCGTCTAATAATATATACCTCTCTTTAATTTTTATGTATAAGAATTATTCGTGAATTGTGACAGAAACTGTAATAATAATGATCATCGCGTAATGAAAATTTGTTGGCATCATTTTTCACGCTTGTTGAATATTTAAGAGGACGACTTATGAGTATGTCTGAGGAAGGTTGTACAGCGCAGTCATGTACTGTAGCGAGACTAGCAACCTATTGCGACGGTAGAATTATGATGGTATTAAGGCCCGTCGGAGCGCCATAAGGCATATATGTATGTACAACCGCACCTTGGACCTTAATCGACTCTAACCTGTGTGAGGACTCGCAGTAAATTCAAGCCGGCGACTTTCTTTAGGTCGAGCACGTTCCACTTGCCACTCCGCAGAAGTTCGGCGAATAGTTCAGGATATTTCGAGACGTCTTCCAGACCACGAGGAGTTCTGCGGAGAGAAAGAGATTTCACACGTTAGGAGCAATTTTAATTTTCTTCTTACCGCAAAGAAAGTTATAAAAAATAATTTACTAAAGATTAATTTATCAATATAAAGGATCAATTATTCTGAGAGTTTATAATGTTATGGAATTTGTAATAATTAAATTCCAACTGAAGTTATCATTATGCAACAATATTACATGCAAATTATTTGAGGATTAAAACATAGTTCATATTTTAAAAGGTATTATTAATTAATTCCACATCGATTTATATCATTTTCAACGTACTTGTTGATGCCATCGAAATCTCCGCCGACTCCGATATGGTCCACGCCAATCAGATTTCTAATATAGTATATGTGCTCGGCCACGTCCGAGACGCTGGCTTGAGATCCGCATTTCACGAAATAATTGTAAAACGTGACCATCACCAGCCCGCCGTTATCAGCCTGAAAATACAAGCGTGATGCTAGGGAATGAAGCGCGTAATTCCATAGTTCTGCGATTTGAACGTGCTTCGCATCGTCGCACCGGGAATTTCAAGTCAGCTCAATGAGAGATGTAACACGCAATTTTCCGCTAGCACACGGGAAAACTGTATTCTGGCCGCGCCTTTGCTTCGGAAACGAAACGTACAACCCCCGGGGCGACAGAAGAATCGATAGAATCGACGAGCGCCGGAAGGGAGACCTCGTTATCGCGGTACCGCATTCACCGTCGACTCGGTGCCGTTAATTTTCGACCTTGATAATTCGCCTCTTAACGAGCTGGAGTGAACCGAGCGCTCCTTAATGGAGCACAAAACTCGACAATAGAAAGGAATCGCCGCCAGTAAATGTTTCGAGCTGCTATTGGAACTCTGGCCGCTGCCCCGGATAATTATCTGTCCGCAGAAAAGAGGATCTGAGAAGGCAGACAGAGAAAATGGAAAAGGTTTTTATCTTCGATACATCGTGTTGCTCTTTCGTATTGCCAATTGTCTTACGAAGCACAAATTTTCCCGCAAGAAAATCGAATAACTATATCATAAACGCCATTCTTTATAATTATCGGTGTCGTAATTATTATACAAAATGTTTTACAGGAAACTTTTATAAAATTTTTATACATAAATTTTCTTTGAGCTTTTGAATATTACATTACGATTAAAAATGTATCTTATTTTATCTTAAGGCAGAAACAATTTACAAAAAATAAGAATATTTAATATCAAATACAATTTTACATTGTAGATTAGACTACAGAAATTTCTATATACTTACTAATTGCTTGAGAATATCGTCTGGTACGTTTCTGGAAGAATTACAAATAGCAAAGGCCGAAGAGTGTGAAAAAATGAGCGGCGCTTTACTGACTCTTAGAGCATCTCTCATGGTTGTTCTCGCAGTGTGGCTAAGATCTATCAGCATTCCAAGTCTATTCATTTCTTTAACTACCGTCTCGCCGAATGCTGTCAGGCCTCCACCTAGAAGATATATTATTATTATTTTATTACTTATACTTTTCATGATATCTACATTAAAAAATTACGATATAAATCTGTTTTTTAAGTCATTAAATGACATTAATATATAAGTTATTTTATCACATTTTCTATTAATATAATTTTATGCATTAATTTTTAGTAATTATTTTTTATTTAAATATCAAAATATATATATATATATATATAATATGTATGTGTATGTACATGTGTTTCTATTAGTTCATGTATATATATTTCGTTATTTAGAAAAAACACAAGAGAAAATATGAACAAAAGTATTTTATTTATTTTAAATTTTTATTGTAGTTTAATTTCTTAATTACTTATGGATCTATGAATCTTTATGAGATTAAGTTCACAAGTTTTAGCTCCACTCATTCTAAAGAAGATGTTTATTCCAAACTTGCATCTAATTTACCATCTTCATCGTCGTCTTCCACCGACGAACTTTTCGCCCATGGAGTGTTGCAGGTGTGCGTCAGCGTAAGATACCGTACACCCAGCTGGTAAAGTGTTCTTAAAACGGCTAAACTACTTCCTAGACTATGCCCACCCTCCACTCCAATCAGGGAAGCTATTCTGCCCCTCCCGTGAGCCTCCAAAATTTCTAGAAGTCAGAAATATGGTTGAAGCTGTCGCTTTGTCGATCGCGCCACATTATTCTCGAGCAATCTACGATTTGCATTACGGTGAGCTATACTCACCCCTCGACGATGCAGCAAACTGCATGTGCTGGGAATACTTTTCTATGAGCCTCTTAATGAGGTCCACCTGTTCTAAAGTCAGCTGAACCGCGTTAAGATGTTGAGATTCGCATGGCACGTACGCGGCCCAAAACTAGAAGAAAAAGAAGAAAAAAAATAATCGTTATATATATTATTGAAAAAGATTGCGTTGGTAGTTGAGAGGAGCCGTATTTTTCGTATATTTAAGAAGAAACGACGGAATAGTCCAAAAGAAAAGTGCGGAAGGTGTAATATAAAAAAATATATTTTATTTTTTTAAAAAAACATTTTCAATTTACTTTTCAAAAATGGAGATCGTTTAAAATATATCTCAGTTTATATTTGCATCAGAAAGATTACAGATCACAAATTAATTAAAATAACAAAATGTTTTCATTTTATAATATAATTTACAATATGTATATATAATATTAGAAATCTGCAAAACTATGGAATTTTAATCTGCAGTTATGCAATATATTTTAACTTTACCAGAGAAAAATGCAAGTTGTCGTAATCCGCAATGTAGTTTGCGGTTGAAAAAAATTGTTTTGTCTTCTAAATTCCCATCTGGCGCAACTATTCGCGTAATTGTTACATTTTATTAAAACAACATATATTTTCATTATTTTTACGCAATATACTGGAGGAAGTAGATTGCGCTTTTATAAGTAATATATAATATATGTATTATAAGTAATATATAATATATAATATAAGTAATATATAAAATTTCTAAATCTTTTAAAATAAATTCTCGAAAAAAATATAAAACAAATTCAATAAGATTATTACATTGATTATAATTTATTATCCTTAGCACGAGTGTTTCTCCATGGATCACTATCATTTATACAATACTATTATATATATATATATATATATATATATATATATATATATATATATATATATGCATGCAAGCATGACACGCGCTTAATGCTCGCATCATTCAGACCTAACGAGCTCTCGAGTGCTCGCATGCGACGATAATCGATGCATTCAATCCGTCACGCTCATAATATCGCCGACATCCGAAACGCGCCTAGTCATCTCTGGTATGGTTTCCGCGAAACATCCAAGCCCAGATTGCTTATTACGTTGCATAGTAATACAACTAGCTTCTTCAATGCGTTTTCTTGCGCGAATTAAAAAGGATTATTAAAAACGCACAAAGAAATATAACGTATTGTATAAATATAACGTATGCATTTTATATTACAAAATTTTCTTTTAATGAATTTTAATTTTACGAAATAAGAATAAAAAGATTTATAATAAGTATAATATCTTATTTGAAGCTCTTTCTACAAAAGGTCGATTTCAATCGTTTATGTTTCTGAAAAGATGTATTATTAAAATTAAGTTCGAATATTATATTCTTTTTTTTTTTTCAATATATGGTATTATATTTTGTATCGCAATTACCTGACCACCGACCATGCCCTGCCGCAGTCTGACCAAGTCGGTTTGACTCCAAGCACTCTTACTCCAGGGTGTGACTTGACGCAGGTCCTTGTCAAAATCGAACTCCGCCAACTGGTTATGGAGGAAATTGCGGATGTTCCATGGTAGGTCATTGTGGCCGTCGATCAAAGGCACCTCAGAAAGAACCTGTCGAACGGTTTCCAATCGCTCACGCGGCGACGTCAGGAGCGCGAGCTCCCCATCTGCTGGACGTGGCCCGACTCTGCCCACCCAGGTGCCAATCGACAGTATAATCACGCTTACTGTCCATACACCACTCTGGCCGCCACTCTGAAACAAGCCGATAATGGAATAAATAATCTTCTATACTCTGCCTATGTTCAGGATAAAGCAATGGATACAAACTTTACACGAAAATATGGACAAATTTCTTTCGTAATTGAGTAAGTAAAATATATGTAAACTTTACATTTATTATATTGTAATTAGCTCGAGATATAATCATTAATTAGGAAATTAAAGGATATAACAATAATTACTTAATTAACTAGTAAATTATTAACTAGTTATTGATTATTTTAACGATAATAAAATAGGTCGCTCATAAATATTTTATTATTTTCCGAAATATAAGGCAATACTTGCTTTGAATATTGTGCAAAATAGGTTTTTGCTCGAGTGTGGAATGCTACGTACAGCCGCGTTCTATTATTAGAGTCAAAGAGGCTTTTTCTGGACAATTTGTTTCAGATAAATTGCCCAGTGGAAAAACAGATGGCTTCAATGATAGCATAAAACGATTTAATACAGTACCGTAAAAGTTTTTTGGTAAATGTATTTAGCGCAGCATACGAGAATAACGTATTGTCCTCGCGGGATTACCTCGCGTAATGAAGATAGACCGAAAGGGAAATAACACGAGAAGGAGATAGCAATGGTTGTATATAGAGCCCCGCCCCATGTTGTTTCCACACCTTAGACCCCTTTGAAGAAACGAGCGGTATTTTCGAGAAAGAGACGTGCGACTTTGACGGAGATTATAAATTATTAAGCCTTGCTCATCCAAGCGATCCATGTCGGTTGATGTTCGTCTGTCGTCGAGATTTGCAATTCAGGGAACGAAACAGTGAATTATTTCTCGAGCAAGGTATCAAAGCTGCTCACTTTCCAAGGCTCTTTCCTTTGCAAGCTTGGCAGCTTGCAAATATAGAAGAAAATCATACACGATGGCCGTAATCTTCGCTGTGAATAATGTGTAGTAGAATGAACTGAGGGATATGTTCTCTTATGTTATATGATTATATGAAAGAATCATGCAGATGAACCGTGTCCCTTTGTTCCACACATTATTCTATTTACGAGATTGTTGAGCGAAAGAGGAAACACGCTCGCTGCTAACATAAATTCTTTACAAGAGTGATTGATGGTTTTTTTTTCTCAACGATGATTGATTATGGAAAAAATTCACTTATCACGCATCATTTACATCGAGTGTTGGTATTTTTTTTCTGTCATGCAAATATTACAAAATTAATTTTTAATAAAATAATCATTTGATCGGAATGGAATTCATCAAATCTCCGATGAAGATAAACGGAAACTTTTTTGCTCATTTCTGCTTACATTTCTCGGTTTCGTGCGATGGGATCGAATAGTTCGAATCAAAAGTACATAGATAAAAGGTTCAATCGGAAAATGTCCGCTGCAAAAGTCGAGAGATTCATGTACGAGAGGGATTAGCTCAGCTAGTCGTGTACAAAAGAACGAGAATTACTTGAGTACTGAGCAATGTCGTTTAACTGTATCCACTGCCCGACCAAACGACGACCCGCACTACTCGTTGACCGCGGGAATGCGGTCTGTTCATACTCGGCTGGCCATACACGTCGTTTTCTGCACGGGATCTGAGAGTCTCGTCGTTGTTTGAACTTCCGACGGTCTTACGGAAATATTTGCGCGATGCTAACTTTAGTTGGCAATAATCATTAAGGAATTTGCGGCTCATCACGCCGTATTTTCATAGTACTTAGTACAACATTATACATAGTTTATATCGCGTTTTTGTCGTAATTAAATATACATGATATTATCAAAAGCGATTGATAAAAATTTTTTTGCAAGAAATAATTGAAACCAAATTTATTGCTGTTTAATAGAACAGTATAACTTCTAGATAAATTGAAAATTTATATACAAATCGCAAATATTAATTTATTGCAAATATTGCTTTAATATTAAAAAATGAATTTTCAACAAGAAAATAATTCTAACATTTCAATTTTGCGTAATATAAAAATTTAAATTTAACTACCAATTAATTGTCGTATACAATATAATCGCTATTATTCGTGTAAAGTATGCAATATGATCATCAAAATGAGGGATTTTTTTCTCATCTCATATTATTGGGAATTTAATGGAGCAGGCAAAATGCCAAAATGAGATATAAATCTACTATGACGTAACCTACCGTTCGATGATTAATGAATAGAAAGTGATTTAATGCTATGTGAACGATATTGTTGAAACCCTATACCCAACGGTTCAAACGACGATTATACGATCGTTCGTTTCTATAGACGATTGATATTGAACCGAATCTATTCAGCGTTGCTGAATAGTAACGTTACAGTCGTTGCACGTGTCACGCTTAGCTTTCACCATTAACTACGACTCGATATTGGTTTCATCTGCCTTTGAAATGAATTTTCATAATCTCGTGCACGATTCGTTTCCTTCCGGCGAATAATTCATATAACTAATCCCATCCGGCTCGCATTTTCCAGATTAAATCGTCGATCTTAGCTGACATGTGCTTTAAAATATAGACGAAATCAAAGTATGATGATATTTTCAAGAAAAGTTTTCAAGATTGAAATTACTTAGAGAATTTAAAATTATTTTACTTATATTTTAACTGTATATTACTTTGTATATTCTGTAATGATATAGTAGATATTTGAAGAAATGAGAGAGATACGATCGACAGCGTAAACACACAAAACTGTAGCTTACTGCGATACTTATTGCTGAGAGCTGTTGAAACGAACTGCCTCATTAAAATTTCGCATTAAACAACGTTTGCTGCAACTGCACTTTCGTTAAAAAAGAAAACATATTCCGCATGTGAGATTGCAGTTTACCGTTAATATTCTTGAGTATGGTAGCAGAAGGAAAGTTGGAAGAAGAGATAGGAATGATGGCGAAAGTCTTGAACTGGCTTGCATCCAAATGTCAACTGTAATAAAGGGTCGCATTAAAAGAATATAGTCCAGGCGAGCTATTCGTTGAAATGTCGATGTTTTTGAAGATTCAATCTATAGAATTATTTGTTAGATTGGTTTCGTTATTTTTATTGCTGTGACGTGTGGCACAAGTTGTTGAATATACAATTACTTCATAAAAATAGCATTTTATACTTTTTTTTATTACTTCAAGTGAATCTCTTTACTTTAATACGTATTTGCGGACAAATATGTCTTTGTTAATTTTACAACAAGGGTGCAATAATCGCTATTATTTGTTATAATAATTATCTTTGTTCAATTAATAGTTTGACAGGAAAAAGTGTTTGAAGTTCGCTTTGTTCTGCATACGTTCCGCTATTTCGTACGAATGGATAATTTGATCCTATCTGGTTCATCGAATAAAGGGTTAAATTGTCGATTCGATATTCCGTGCTCGTATGTGGAGCCGCGATATGTCCGTTTCATAATTAACGCGTCAATTTGGCAATCGACGCCGTTTAGCCATAAAAAAGCGACGTGCCGCAGCCGATTTAAGTCACGACTCGAATTCTAATAGCCTTTTTGGCATAAAGAAGCTTTTAATTCTCTAATACGCATTGATGTGACACCTGAATTTCTCTTAACAATTGCAAGTGTAACATACGATATGATACTGAGCGTAGTTTACGCGAGTAGTATCCGTGCACAACGTCGTAGAACGTCGTACGTTACGGACGAGGAACGTCGTTACATTCGTTATTCAAGTGCTTGAACTACATAGGCGAGCTTCAAAAGAGGTCATGCGAGGCAAACTGGGTTTCGCGGCACTTTTAAGTTTCACCGGGAATATCCTGCGAGTGAGGGAGAGAAGCGAGGGAAAAATTACTTGTAGCTTCGTTCCCCAGGGCATCGTAACGTTTGAAATTGCACGGCGGCGGCACGACGGGTTCTCTCTCTCTCT